GGTGTATGATGAGTGGTGTATGATGAGTGGTGTATGATGAGTGGTGTTTGATGAGGGGTGTATGATGAGTGGTGGTTGAACAGCTGTTGAATGTCCGTAACACGGAAGTTTTGCACACTAAACTTCCTTTGACTACTACTACTACTACTACTACTACTACTACTACTACCCTACTATTACTGCTCGGGCCCTGGAAGTTGTCAGGTGACATGATCTGAGTTGTATTATTAGTTGGGCACAGGTCTCTTGATGAAAGCATTCGCTTCGGACAAAACAGTAAGACTTGGCGCTCAAGGACTTGTGCTATGGGCTGAAATACACAACGATGGTGATGTCAACGTGGTTGTTTTGAAATGTCATGGTGAAGATCACTCGAAGTAAAGTAATTGAAGAACACTTACGGGCATTTCTCAATTATTTCCCCTGAAACATGTGGAGTTTTACAGGTTTGCTGTGTTTTTTGTCAATTGACGATGTTGAAATACGCACGCAACTACACGTTCAATTCCCGACCCGGCGGGATGTTTATGTCAAGAAAAATCCGTGCACAAATGCTCACTCATCAAAGTGCTGGCAAGGTCTCTTAGAGATCTGACAATAGCGTAGTCGACATTAACCGAAATGAGTATATACATACTATTTCTGTACGTTTTTCCCCTTTTCATGTCTTTTTGCATGCGAGGTACTCGTTGCAGCACAGGCAGCTAAAAGCAAGGCCTTGGCCTGCTTGAAATCCTTTGCGGCCAGAGTAATTTCGGAGGTCCTGCGAAGGTTTTGGTCCTATGGACTGTAACATGCGAACCTTCCAAAACCCTAGATCCGGCCGCCTTCGACAGAATTCACAAGAGGGGGACGCGCTGAGGGGGTCTTGCAAAGGGAGGCTCGAAGTTGAAGGAAATGTTGCGACGGGGGGTCTCTGGAAGGGCTTTCCGTCAGCTTCTCGCAGCTTCGCAGCTCTAGTTGTATTTTGTTGAATGCGCAATGAGAATTCTGCGCATTCGTCAACACAGTCCTCGCTTTAAGCGCGAATGATCAGAAACTCAACACGCCTGAAATGCCTACGTGGACCTTCCGAACTCCCTGTTCGTCTTGGTGAAAACAAAGGCATCGATTTGAGAGGCTAAACAATACGAAGACCCGAATAAGTTTAGGGAGTTGGACTTTCATTGCATGTCCTGGAATCCAATCCACCAAATAGAGAATGGATATGAGATGCCTGCAGCTCCAGTTCGGCAATTTCGGGATTCCAAACCTTGGTGCCAGGTCTGTAAGGGCTGGAAAATGAGCACAGGCATAACACTGTCATAGTGTGCCTTCCAAGCAAAAAATGCCAAGAATTTGAGAAGGCAACAAACTCATTGTCCTGCTCATCATCTTGGCCATCTAGTGTCCTCAGTTTGCAAGCACCTGTCTTGTTACAATGTTCTCAGTAGCTAAGGAAGTGGCCAAAGCCGAGCAAAACGAGTATCATCTCCATCAGACATGGCGTATCATCGGTTGAGCGTGTTTTTTCAACTGGCTAAATGTGTGTTTTCAAAGGCTGAAGAGCTGTCCATTTGAGTTCAAAGCAGACAAACTTTGCCAAGGTTGTTTCAAAGTGAGATGAAGACAAGAGTGCTGAATGATGCTACCCTGAGCCATCCCTCAAGTCCAATATATAACAATGCATGGTTCACTCTCGGAACTGACTCTTGCTCGTGCCTTGTTGGCACAATTCTTGTCGGTTGACCAATGAACCTGCTGCAAAGCAATAAGAAATGCATTCCTATCAAGTACTGATAGCCAGGAGGTCCAGTCAATCTTGCCTGCATCTGCTTGACACACCGGGCCAGGCCAGGCCTGGAAGACCACAGTGGCCGTCCAGTCCGAGCAATTCACTGTGTGTGTGTGAAACCCTTGGAGTCGGAGGGTTTCCTTTGAAGTTGTTTGCAATTTGTGCTGGCTTTCCATTTTCTGATAGATGCAGGCGGCAGGAGCACCATTGCTGCCAAGGAAGACACTTGCAATTGGTGGTGAAACCAGACCTGATCAGTCTGGCGTACCTGCTTTGAACACATTGACTCCAATGGTCCTCCATCGCTTAGGCTGTTTCCAGGTTTATCAGGTAACGTAATGCGCTAATGAGTTCGGCAGACCTGCACGTACCGTCGTCATTCTGTCGCGGAGAGCCGCTGTTCGCGCACTTCAAGACTGTTGGAGCTTTGAAGGTTTTTTCTTGTTCAGACTTACTCTTGGTACTCTTAGGCGTTCATACCTAGGTGGGCGTGTGGCAAGTGGCTTTCAACTTCCGTACGCATTTCCTAAGTGTGTGCGTGTGTGTGTGTGTCCACACCTGTTTCCAAGGAAGATGCATGGAAGAATTAACCAATCCAGAATTCAAGCACGATAGATGCAGGGGGGCAGAGAGGACGTGCAAGGCTCTGCCCAACGAAGCTCTTTGCACTAGTCCTAGGAAGCGAGAGATGATCACTCCTGTGTACCTGCAAATTTAGCATTCCTGACTCTTTGATTATGTAAACCATATTCTTTCTGATTCTGCCACCTTTCCGTTCCCTCACAGGGCTGTTTCTCAGGTTTCAGGCAGCGCTTTAAACCGGTTATTGTATTCACTAGAGTGGATTGCCTTATACAACTGATTTAGCTCTTGCGAGCATCAATCTAAGATCCCCCTTGGAATTACCGGTAGGTCTGGGGAGCGCGATTTTATAGCCATAAATCGCCTGCCCCAACATCCAGCAAGCAATCTCTCCACTATAAAATGAAGACTCGACATGAATCAGTAAATCTCTATAAAATCAAGTCTCAACATCTAAGGCGCCTGAAAGCAGAAGGAAGACGAAAAATATGATCTAGGTTTGAGGTAGTTTTACCTTTATTTTGCCCAGGTCGGAATTGATTTTATAGTGAGTTGTTTGGGTTCAACTGGGCTGAGACTTGAATTTGTAGGGATTTGGTTTGCAAAATCTGACAGCATCAGCGATGAGCAGGTTTTTTCCCCTGTGCGTTCGTCTGATTGTTCTGATGTCCAAAGCAATCCGCTTGTGTTGTTAACTTCAGTCTTTTTTCCAAAAGGAATCTGAACATTTCTGACCCATTTCTTGCTAATTTTGTTTGAATATAATGAAACCTTCTCGGATTTGTTGAAAGCATCTTTTCGACCATTGAAAGCATCTTGCGGGCAGGCCGGGCGTATAAACTCAAAAAACAAACATATTCTGCTGACTTCCAACATCTGCCACAATAAAATGAAGTCTCAGCTTTCTTGTCCACAACTCTCTTCATATAAGATCAAGAACCAACTTCTAATTAATCATTGTAAGGCTTGGTCTGCTATAAAATCGGGGCTCATACCACCTCACTCCTATAAAATCAAATGTCAAAACATCCAGACCTCTATCTATGTGCGGCCCACATAATTCTGGCCACAAGCTACCAGGTCGACGCATCATTTTATAGCAAGCCCTCCCTATAAAATGACATGGGGTTTTGGTACTCGAGTACGTCCATTTTATAGGCTTTATTCCATCGGGGATAATCTAAGTGTGTTGTGGAGGAAGAAGGAAATGTTCTCTGACTGATATCTGACTACGCCTTACTAGGCTCGATAAGCTTGAAGGAAGATCTGCATCAAAAAAAATCAACAGGAAGGGCTATCTATAGTAGCTTTGGTGGCGTGTGTCTGGTAGTTGGCCCACCGCCTGCAACAGCCTGTGGTGTCTTGTGCCTTTTTGTGACATCTGTGTGTTGACGCCGATGTTCTTGTAGAAAGGCGTTTGGTTTTTGTCGGTTTTATATAGGAAGTCATAGGGTTTCGTCCACCACGGCAGTTTGGGGGCACAACTGTTTGTTTCACAGGTTGTCACCGACACTATATATTATAACTAGTAGTCCTCCTTGGTGGTCCTGTGTTGGAAATGCTTGGAACATGATGCCACATGCACAGACGCTTTGGAAGATGAAAAAGGAGCAGCTGTTTTTCGTAGTTGCTTGATGACATAACTCTGAAAGTCTGAAACGTAGTGGCCCGCAACTTGACTTCAATTTTGAAGTGTGAATTCTACTGGGAAGTGCTGCGCATGACAAAGTTCAACCACTGGAATTACGCTCTTCAAAACTTGCAAATATTGAACAATTACGTGCATACAATTTGCAAATGAGAAAGATCATTTCATACCACGGCCCGATATGAGCGGTGGGCCCAGTTTCCACTGCTCCTCCTCCCCAGTCTTTCTTGCTAAACACTGAAGGATCGTGTTTGAACAGCTTTGTTTCTTTTGGAACTGGGGTAGTTGGCTGTGCTGGCTTGTATTGCTATTCTCTGCCTCCATTCGCCTGGCACGTCACCATTTGTTCAAACTTGTTGGTACACAAGAATGTCACATTGACAAAAAGTGCATTCACAAGAATATTGTAAGTCTTTGTATGTCTTTGTGCTCCTTTACATGCCGTTCTTGTTGAAGGCTAGGAGTTAGTAGCAGTTAGCAGGTCTTGGTGGTGATTGGGCCATGTGGTCGCACTTGTAGATAGCAGAGGCAGCAAATGGCTTGTCTTCAAACTGTTCAATCGCTTGGCCTTTGTTTGGCCAAATACTTCATCCTGCAACTTCAACAGCATTGAGCCAAGACAGTGCGCAACACCGCAACAGAACCTAGCCCAGACCTTGCAAGAGCAAACGTGGAGGTAAGAAGCGAAACGAACTAAAGAAACAGGGAAAGAAAAATCATTAGATGCAGGCGGTGATGGATTGATTCCAAACGGTTGGGCACACTGGCGAGCCAGAAACCTGAGCACCTTTTGCGGGCAGCACAAGTCTGTTCCAAGGTGGCTTGCTAAAGCAACTGGACAATGCACTTCACCAGGACTGTCATGGGGCCCAAGAACATTATATAGGTAACAATTACAAGAAAGATGTCAAGGGCTCAAATATTGCAAAACATGCTGCCCAAAAACAAACAACCGAAAAGCAACGATCCAACGATCCAAAGATCTACGCTGCATCTCAAATGCGTAACTGGCATCGATACTAGGAGCAAGGACGCTACTAGTAGCTCCTGGCATTGCTACTAGTAACAAGGGCATCGCTATTAGTAGCTAATTTGCTACTACTAACAAGAAGCTACTAGGTTGGAGGCCATCGCTAGTAGGTTGGAGGCCATTACTACCAGTAGCAAGAAGCTACTAGTACGTTGCATCTCAAATGCCTTTCCAAATGAAGTCTCTTGTGTGTCCGAAGCCTTCCAGGTGCGAAGCCCATAGGCTCAAGGACATTGGCCAGGCACTCAGCAACCATGGTCCTCGCTCGAATCAGTTTTTGCTTATGCAATGAAAACTAGAAACTTTTGGAGTGATACTGGCTGATTTTTGGGGAACATGTAGGTGGATTGAGAACAGTGATGTGCACAGCCCTTCAAGTGCAAGCGTTGTCATCTCAGCGTGACTGTGCTGGGTGGCATGGGTGTGCAAAATTCAAGCCAGTGATCATATATAGTGCCGCTGCTGAGTGGCCATTGGGCTTAGGTTTCAAGTCTCAAAGTTACGGGAAATGTTACCATCCTTTGCACTAGTTTGCATCCGCACGTGTCCATATTTCGGATTCACAAAGTCTCGAAGCAAAGGAAAAAGCGAAGCGAAGCTGCCGACTATCGACCCCTGAGTCCGCACCTTGTTTCTTTCAAACGAAGCGGGAAGGATAGGTCTCGACGGTCCCAAAGGGCCTTTCTCTTGGACCTTGCGAAATCGGGATGTTTTATCTCTCTCGTTTCAATCATTTTTTGGCCGGGAGGGTGTAGGCCTCAAAGGGAGGTAGTAGCTAGCTAGAGGTAGCTAGTACCTACAAGTAAGATCAAGTACTGTAAGCTACTACCTTGGACGCACCCCTCGCACTATTCATTGGTTCCTAGATTTTTTGGGAAACTTCTCCAGTAAGGCTGAGTTCCGGTCTGAAACTCTGGGCCGGAGAACACCTGCAGCTTGTAAGCGGCAGGCTGACCCTTCGCGTACGCATGAGTTTCTTTTACGTGAACATTGAAAGTTTAGCTCAAAACCCGCTATGAGGTCTACACTGTCTATATACTGTACATCGCATGTATCTAAACACGACAGACTAAACAAATAGTCATCCTTGCAGACTCCGCCTCCTCCCACTTCTTCATGAGCTCAAAGCAATCTGTTGCATTTGATATCACTCCGGTGCCTGGATTCTCGCTAAGCAAGAATGCTGAGTAGAACTATGATAGAACCATCTCACTTCGTTTTGCTCGCACTAATTAGATTCCTTTCTCGTCTTGCAATTCAGACTTTAAGGCATGAACCGCCAAAAGGCTCTTCAGGAATATATCTCTTGATGACAGCTGCTCGAGTTTCCTCATCCAGCCCATCCAAGTACCTCCGAACGGCCAACGCGATTGTCAGAAGAATGCACTGTTTCATCGCTGTCGACTGCTCAAAGAAAAGACTTGCGAGTCAACCAAATCAGTTGATGATTACGCTCCGTCCTCCCGGCCTGTCTGATGGCATGTGGATTGGCATGGGGAGCTCGGTCGCGGCATCCGCCTCACTTCTCAAGTCCGAGTTCACATGCCAAAGCCACAGGTGAAAAGGAAACCACAGCCACTGAAGTGGCCCACCTCTGAGAAGTGGCTTGCGATCTCAGAAACCCATCTGTCCACCTCAATCGGAATCCCAAAACGGTTTGCTCTTGCTTTCCGCCAGTCAGGCACATCTCAGGTTCCAGGCACATCTCAGCACCAAGGGTGCCTCAGATCGCGATAAAGCAGCGATGAAGCATGTCTCAGAATCAATAGCCAACGTTTGAGAAGCGAGCCAAAACCAAGAGGGGGAATAGCTAAAAACCAACTGCAATAAATATCCCGAATCACACTGTAGTTGATGGCAAAACAGATTGAACTGATCCTGGACGGAACTGGGTCCATGGTAGGTAGGTGCAAGAAGTAGAATGCAACTTTTCTTGACTCAAAGGAGCATGGAACTGAGTCTTGAGCCGCTGGATCCAAAATCTTCCCAGAGCCCACCGGCTCCTGCCACACCCATAAAACTGGCCGGCATCGAGGTCAAAGTCTTTCCAGAACACAGTCGCCATGAAAGCACGAGACTCGTGAAAGAGCCGTCTGGATCAAGTGGAAGGAACGTGGCAAGAACTCAAAAACCATGAAAATACACTTCGAAGATGCAAGGAAACAGGCAGTCCAGGATCTTCTGTGCCACATCCTGACGACAGAGTTCTCCAGCAACCAATCAGTGAATTCAATCCCTACTTTGTGGTTGCAAGTCAATCACCTACCCCACACTCAAGCCACTATCAGCCATGAGACGCAAGTTTGACAACGCGTTGGGCAACCACCTAAGTTTACCGAGGCTTTCAAGTAGAATTGTGTCTTAAATCGCTATGCCGCTATGCGGCTAGGGCCGCTAGGGCAACATTCAATGAATGCCTCCACTATAATTCTAAACTCTTGAACACACGTTTCAACGATCGACAACGCAGCCAGAACATCCACATTATTTGCTTATCTCTTGGCGTCTGCCCTGCCAAGCTTCTGCAACTGCACATGTTTCTCAGACGATCGCATGGGTTTCACATTGATCAGCACACGTTTCTTATTTTCAATTCTGCAGTTGTCGATACAAAGCGACAGCATTGAATCCGGAAGTCCCTACTGACAGGCATTTGAATTGTCTTAAAAATGTTTGAGAGGCCACTTTCTTTGAGGGTGATCAAAAGTTAGCTAGAAGGTAAGCAAGGTTTGTGTGTGTAACCCTTGGAATCATCAGGAGTCTTTTGGCTTTAAAACTTGCAGGGGGAAGCAGGGAATCCACAGTTCTGCAGGCAACGAAGACAACTGTGGATGCTCCGTGAAGCAACCAATCCGTGCAATTTGAGCCTCATTGAACCTACGTAGGGCAAAAGCTGTCTCATTCCGTCTTTTGTTGTAAAATGCTAATGAGCTTTGCAGATTTGAATCTACGTTCGACGTTCGAGTTCCTTGTCGTGGGATTAGGCTTTTGAACCTCTAGACTAATTAAGGTCCAGGTTGTTCTTTTCCGACCTTGAGAATGTTTAGAATATCTTGCATACTCCTGGTTTATGGAGGCATTGTTTCACCTGGGCTTCCGTGTGGCATGTGGCATTCAGACCGTACGTACTTTATCAAGCCACCTAAGTCACCTAGGTATCATTTACATAGGATCTGATTGCGTTGCAATTTAGGCTTGAAAATGCTCAAATTGCATCAGGACGAGGGACTTGACCTGGGGGATCGAAAAGAATCCTTTCTTAGCCTATGATTCATTGCAAAACACTGGCTTCCTATTGCAACACATCTTTACCAAAGCAGGCTGAAGCTAAATGAAACACAAAGAGTCGACAGTGTCCTTGAATCCCAGCTCTGTGAGAGCATCTACCGCCAAGGCCTGAGGGCAGTCTGAAAGTTTGGACTATTCAGCCGCTTTCTGTCTGCTTTCAAATCTGCAAACCTGCGACAATTGCGGAAGACTCTGCGGAAGACCAGTTTTAACGGCTGGCAACGGTCAGCATGCAACTGAAAGATTGTGAAACCCATACACATGTCATTTCTATCAACTCAAATCGGTTGCAGTGCTTCAGAAGGTTTTGCACCATGTCCGGGGGTCTCATCATGCAAAGGCTGCTAGCTCCGCGGCATAAGACCAGTGCCTCCCAAAAATGTTACTGTTAGACTGTTAGACACAATTCTGGCAAATCATGGCACCAACTTGCTGGTGCGAGTACAAGCCTAAAGAAGACTTGTCCAAGTAGGAAAGCAGGCCTTCCAGCCTCTTTCCGCTGGCTGTGATCTTCAGCATCCCACAAGCAACGCCTTCCTTTGTGACTGAAAAAGCAGGTCACTTCATAAGTATCTTGAGTTGTTGCAGGTGCTGTACTGAAACAAGCAAAATGTCCCAAGGAATACCGGACAAAGCAGCCTCTTTCAGGAAAGTTGCGAACAAGTTGCGACTCCAATTCCAAAAGCAAAGGATTCCTGCGATTCGCAGGTTCGGCCTCCAGATCGGCCTCTCCACGTTCCAGGTCGTGGTTGCCTTTGTCAGGCACGTCGCAATTGACGGTCGCCAAAGATTTTTCGCAATATAATGCAATATTCGCAAAATGTCCATCGTTCTCACCCTCCAATTGGTTCTTTTCGGGTGGGTCATTCCATGTCATTTCCTTTATCATCCGTGACACATCTTGAAATCTCCTGTAAACAGTGCCTTGATTCAGGGCTACTACACGCCCAGCAAAAAGAATATAGATTCAGAAATGGCTCACTGCACAGCTCACAAGATGGATGATCATTCAGGATTGGGATCAACAGGTAAGGGCTTCAAGGGCTGAGTGAAAAAGCACGAAAAAGCGGATTGAGATGGCCAGATTGCACAGAAGGCTAAGGACGCGTCCCCCTGTGTCGCTTTGCTGCAATCATTCAACCTCCTGAAATAATGCAAACCAAGGATGAAAATGACAGAAACCGTCAAATGCTGCAACTGTTCAGGTAGTGGCTAGGAGGTTCACCAAAAAGGTCGTCAAGAATCCAAGAAAGGAAATCCTATCCGGGTAATGTCGCTCAGGACACAATGCAGCCTGTGCTTCATCTGCTCCTTCCTTCTGCGCTGCCGCCTCCACAAAGTTGTCTGAGAATGGTACGTCGCAGAGTGCACGGAAGGTCTGTTCGTATCACCTTCTCCCGAGCTTCTATGACTGTTTGAAGGTTTGGGGCCCTTTAGGCAACTCGAGGCACCTGCCTCCTCTTTTTTCTTTCGTCGCCGCGCTCGGCGCGCTTTGTTGCTCCGGATGCGCTTGGCACGTTGATCTGCCTGTGACGGAATCCATCAGCGAAGAGATTTGCTCCATGAAAGCCAAGTCTTGAGAAGAATATCCACACATGCGCCTTCGTTTCCATGCCCAAGACAACCTTCTTATACCTCCGAGTAAGGCTTCATGCATGCCATCCAAATGCTTTCATCTCTTGCCTCTTACCGTTTCATTTCTTTCTGGCCTCCATGTCATGTCTCTTTTGGTCTTGTTTATGTTTTTCCCACCCTTTCTTGTTGACTTTTCTTCAAGCACACCATTAAACCGAGACTCCACGATGTTCTCCAACCAATTAGTAACAAGAAGCTAGTAGTAACAGGTGCCTTACTAGTAGTAACAAAAAGCTAGTAGTAACTTGTGCATTTTAGACATGTGCTGGGCTCCGGACAGCTCGGCCAGCCGGCGGCGAGCGGAGACACGGTTCTCCAGCTGAGTTCGATGACTCTGCGCCTTCACCTGCGCACAGCGATGCTCCGGTGAGTTCGTCTGGTCACTGTCATGTCTTTTCAAGTAGTGAAAGCTATATACAAATATAAGTTTCCCTCAAAATCTAAACAAATGAATAGTGCGAGCGCTATCCTGCGTCCAGGTAGTAGCTTAAGTAAGGTACGAGCTACCTCTAGCTAGCTACTACGAGCTACCTACCTCTAGCTAACCTCCCACACCTCTACTTGTAGTGGCCTGACCTTTCTGTTCGACCTGAAAGACCTAGTGGTGGATGGAAGTTGGAGTGCCATGGAACCCCCGAGCACACCTCCAGTCCAGAAGGGCCATGTCGCAAGCGCACAGCCGTCTCAACCTGGCAGGTCAAGCCATTCAGCGCTTTCCAAACTTCAAACAGAAAAGCTTTAAAAGTGAAGCTCTTTGGTTGGGAACAGCACCTTGTTGACATTCTGCCCTCCAGGTCCAGATGATTTTGTGAAGCTCTCCTCCAGATCCTTCAAAACGATGCCCAATTGTTCAAGCTGCCTCAAAGTGTTCAGAGCTCAACTTAAGCATTGGACCCATGAGAAATGTCCATCCTGAAGAACAAGCTTTTGTGCTCTTAGAAAATACAGCAGGCTTTAGCTGAGCGACTCATCTGCTTGGCCTACGTCAGGGCCGGCTCCCCGCTGCACTGACCCGCTTGTTCGCTGCCGATTCACCCCAACAAAAGTGCAACACCAAACCGAGGTCAAGCCTGAGATACACAGCAGTAGTGCCTACTTCAATTAGAGTCTAAGAGTCTAAATACAGTCAGAATTGAGTGATTGAGTGACCAAAGCTGCCAAGACGCATGCCCAAAGTAAGAGCACTCTCCTCCGACTCCACATGGTTGTGCGTCATCAAAGGGCCAAGGCCAAGGCTAAGGAAAACAATTGCTCGCTGTCAACAAGTGTGAGGGTCTCTGAGCAAGGCAACTTGCAGAAGTTTGGGCCAAGGTATCTGCCGATAGGCGTGCTTCATTTGTCACTTCTTACTTCTTGACCATGACCATACCAAAAGATAATCCATTTGCCTGGTCACAAGCACTATTCCTTGAAACGATCTCGCTGGGACCTCAACGGTAAAATAGGCTGCAGTTTGCCGTGACTGCAAAAGAAGTCAAAGAATCCAAACTATGACAATATGTCTTGAAATAAAATATAGAATCTAAATTCCACCTCCAAATCTTCCACTTTTCGGCCTCTGCGGCGGAGTGCTCCAGGTCCATGGCAGCCACGGCGTCCCGCAGTGCCGCCTTCGACTCCTCCATCTTTGTGCGAAACTTGGTGTCAAAAAACGGCTCTTTGAAAATGCAAAAAAATTGGCACAGGAAAAGCATATGGCCTTCAACCTAAGAGCGATGGCCTCCACTAGCGAAAACAAAACAATGGCCAGTGTCTTTGTAAGTCGTCCTTCAATTGCAAATGAGCAGTTCCTCTTTGGGTCAACAGCAAGCATGCACCTGAAAAGAAGCTGGTCACGCTTGCTGGGGCAAGGGACTGTGCACTCATGGAACCTACACCTGGAAGGAAGCATGCAGCATGTGACTATTCTTTCAGAAGGAAAACCCTCTTTAATAAGGGCCCCTTCAAAGATTTGGTTCAAAGTTGTTCAAACAGCAACATGTTCCCAAATGAACCGACTGAGGTCTGCACGGCTTCTGAAGCCTTCATTCAAGCGATCGTTCGTCCGCTTGAGTATATCAATTCCAGCCTTAGAGTGCCCATGAGCTGGACAGGTTGTTCAATGTTTAAGGCCGGCAGACTGTGAATCAGTTCTTGCACTGACAGATTGACCAGTTTGGGTCGAGGCTGTGTAATGCTGAATTGCACCTTTCCAGTCCTTTCCAACACACTTGGAAACTATAAGCTCAAAATCCTGTCCTTCTTCATTGCCCTGTGAATGTTTGATCTTAATTGAAGTCCTTCTGTTCAAGAGCATCATCCCCTGCCAATTTGGAATCGTCTGCAGAGATGAAGAAAATTTCATCCGCGTGTAGGAGCGTCCTGGAATGTCAACACTCTAAGCAATGTTGTTGAAACCATCTGAGCATGAAAGAGCAATCGGCTATATATAGCAGCTATGTCGAAGGATCTGGATTCAACCCAAGACTGCAAAACTTCACAGTTGTCACTATTGTGGACAATGTATTGAGATGAAATCTACCGGACCAGCCCTGGTGTGCCAGTCTGTGCCTTTGCAACAAGCTTGGCCCGCTTCTGAGGTCATCGCTTGATGGTTGGTACAGGCTCCTCGCCGCCAAACCTGGAGCAGATTGAGATGATTAAAATGCGAGTTGATGGTTGTTGATGTGATACAGTGTAACAAAAGAATTCGGCGTGTCAATCAAACCGAAGGAATATCAGAATCACGAACTGCTTGAATTCCGCTAGGATTGATAGGTCGGAGTGGTTGCTCCTCCGTAGAGATTTTATGCACGTGCGATACACATTTGGCTGGCCCTCCCCATGGGCCCCAGGCAACACGACAAACGAGGCAGGGTCCTCCATTAATTGATAAACTCACTTTTCCCAAACAAACCGCCAAAAGAAGCAAGTGTCTCAAAGACTCCTTCCTCAACTCTCATATGTGCAAAAGCCATCACAGGCTTGTACAGGCGGATAGCATGCAATGAATTCCACAAGGGTCAAAGGAAAAGGATGGGAAGTGACCCGTCAAAAAACTGTGCTTCTCCATCTGGACTGCAAGATCCTCTAATTTTGACTGTGAGTCGAGCGCAGGGATCCTACTGCCCGAATGGATGCAACTTCCAACAGCTCGGGTGCACATCTCTGATCCTCACAAAGAGCAGCCACAATGCTGCAGCTGGTAGCATCCTTACTTCCGAAAAGGCAAGCCGGGCAAGCCGGACAAGCCACTAAAAAGCTGCAAGGAATAGAATTGCAAGAGTTCAGCGTGGTTTTCTTACTTGCAATGACTCATGCCAAGTTTCCGCCTGCATCTTTGCAAGAAGCTGCAGTGCCCTCCGCCAATTAAGGTATGGCAATGCTGCATTGCCTGTGGCTGCCTGAAATTCCGGCAAAATGGGTGCTCCATCTTCAATGTGAAAACTGACCAACTGGACCTCCGTGTCCCACAACAGTGCAAAAAAGAATCGGAACGAGGCTCAGCTATCAGCGCCAAGCTGCATCCACACTTTTGGACTGCAGTAGCTGCAACGAAAAAACCCAAGCCTGGGAACCAAGAGTTTCATGAGCGTGTCGGAGCATCTAACGGCGTTGATCTGCTGATGACACACGTCAAGAAGGCCTTGTTACTGCAGGCAATGGCGACATTTTGAGATGCCTTCGTCGGCTCTAGTCCTGCGAACGGAATCGAACTGGCTCGAACCCATGAGGTTCGTGTCATGTTGGATTCAAAAACACTGGAACTCGGGCATGTTGGACAAAGTATTTCAATGCCACCCTCATGTGAAGCTAGCAGGCTGGGCAGGATGTGTGAAAGCATCTTTACGATCTTGCAGTGGCTATCTCCCCACCATACATCATTGGACATGGGTTCAAACCTTGTTCAGCTAGGGTCACACTTGATACAGGAAAAAAGTACTGCGTTTTGAACACCCAAGCAATTCGGCTGTGGGAGCCCCGTTTAAATTTCAAACACCAAAGTCGGGATCTTGTCCTGCAGCTCTGGCAGATCTAAGTATCATGTACACAGTCTGCCAGCTCTGTCTAAGACCATGAGCTTTCATTACCTTCGCACAGCGGTGTGCCAAACATGAGAGAGTCCATCACTGCACAGGCTGAAACACCGTTCTTCGCTGGTTCTTGCAGGACGGGATGCTCCATCACACATGACAATGTCATTGCTGACATACATGGACCTTGACATCGGTTCAGCTTTTGGGCTTCATGTCTGCAAAGTCTGTTCAATACAATCAAGAAGGAAAGCTTTGAACATTGAACCGAATCAGAACACAGATTGCATATAGGTGATGTCGGCGCTTGAAAAACGCACGTGGAAGGGGGCCTACAATGGCCTGAGTTTGCAGGAACCCATGCTTCACAAGCATCAATTTGTGGTCAATCGCTCTCAGTCATCTCAAACAAATGATGCGCAATTGCACGTTTGAGTGTGGAACAGAGCAAAGGTGAAAAGATTCAATGAGATCTGCCACTGCCGGCACGCGTTGCCTTATTCTCCAGAATTCACAGCGAGTACATGTAGAGTGGCAACCATCTGCTCTGAAGTCTCTGAAGGAAATCAACATGAAAAGTTGTGGGGCTCGAACTTGCACTGAGGAGCGAGGCAAATGTCACGCAATTTGGCAATCCAAAAGACCTCGCTCTCACTGACTAAAATAAGAAAGCTGTAATCAAGGTCTCTTTAGCCTCGTCTCCCAATTCGCTCATCTTGGTGAGTCGAACAAAAGAACCCTTTTTGCTGCGAAGGAGCCACGTCCGAATGAAGTTGTTTGCTTGCAACCACTGCGCTGCAGTGTCCAAGGCAAGGACCACTGAGTTACAAGATCCAAGATCGGGCCTTAACTTCTTTGTCAGAGACTCTCTCTCTCTCTCTTTCTTCACCTCCAACATCCCAGCCTCAGCTTCTCATCAAGAAGCTGCGCCAGCAGCCCCACAGCCTCAGAACACATTGCGGCTGTTTGTTCTGCCTTTTGTCAAAGTTCACAAAAAGCTCTACCAAGAGGCCAGGTGCCAGCTGCTCCGCGCAGCAGACATCAAGGCAGTGAATGAGATGATGTCAGCAGCATCCTGATATGTCTCGTTTTGTCATACACTAAAAATTGCCTGAGGCTTAGGGCAAACATATGAAGCCCCAGAAACTTTGGTTCAAGCAGGCTGTTTGCAATGCCAAATCTCCCTTGCAAGAACTGCACTAGAACAGCCTAGCAGTGATGCTTTCTTCAGGCCCTCAAGTTGCCTCAAGACTCTCTTAGACTCCGTCGGTCACAGTCCTCTGCCATGCTGAAGGTCTCGCGCCAGGCTCGGCCCTTTTCGCAAGCGCTCATAGCAGCATTGCAACCTGCGGGCATTGCCCCTTTTGCAAGGCTCACCCTAGATTCTAGACGGTCCAATGGAATCATAGAACCATGCAGACGGAGACACTGTTGCAGAGTCAGGAAGCTTTTCGGAACAATACAAAGCACAGAAAAAAAATGATGCTATGGAAAGCTTCACATTGAGCCAAAGGTGTCTTCCTCTGTAACGAAAAGAAGCAAACCCAAAGGAAGGGGATGAGACAAAAGGCATGCTTGTACATTTTCGTTCTGGCCCGGACAAGCCTATCAATATTAGCACAAGACTTGCTTGGAACAAAACAAAGGAGCTTCTGAAGCATGTCCCTGCGACTGCAAACAACACCAAAAGGAACCATGTTTTTCCAAGGTACTGATGATGTTAGGTTCAACAACGCTGAACCTCATTGCTGTTGTGAAACCTGAGCCAAAGGACCCCCGCAACTCTAATTGCCATAGTTGTTCTGCAGCGTCAGCAAGAAGAACGAGCTATTGAGAAAAGCGCCCAATGGGCAACAAGTCTAGCTTTAACATGGCGGTGCGGTTGTGACGGACCACTCAAACAAACGCACGACGAGGCATGTCAAGTAAGACAGATTACCAGTAAGACAGAACTGCAAATTCTGCTTTCCGCGGCCACCCGATCTAAACATTGGCGGTGCCAAGGAAGGCAAGCTCATGCATGTTTGACTTGGTTCACAATTGATACTCCCTGCACAATCTTGAGCGGGCGTGCCTAAGCCAATGCGCCAACGTCGGCCCTTTTCACAAGCACTGATGCATGCCTTAGATTTAGGACAAGCTCCATTGACCCTTTGCAACAACACACAAGTACCTTCAACCGACAGCTGTTTCACGTGCATGGAGGAGCCGTGTGGGAGATGACGTCGGCCACGAATGCTATGGAGAACAGCTCCAGCGCCGATGGCCACATCACAGTCTTTTCGCAAATACTAATGGCCTCAAAAAATCACATACGTGTCGCCTAAAGCGGCTGTATTGGCACTGAGCTCGGGACAGAGTTGAGGAGGATGAGATCCGGAAGAAAGCCAAAGCACCTCTTAGCAATGTGAGTCATAGGACTCGATGACTTGGAGTCGGATCATGATTCCTCATATTCTCATACTATTCAGAAGTTCTTATGTTTGTATGTTTCTTTTCGTTTTTATCCCGTGTTTGATGGTTTCCTTCTTCCCCGCACCGGAGTTCGGTCAGCAGCTGCAAGGCCCGCTTCCATTGTAGCCCCTTCTCATAAGCGGTCATGACACCAGTGAAAGCCATGAGGTCGGTTTGGAGGCCTGGGATGTTTGGCAACACCCTGGCCCACAATTTCACAAACTACATGTACAGATATGTACAGTATCCCAGACACATCACAGATTGACGTGGCCTGAGTGAAAAAGAAGATGGCAACAATAAGGCCACTTGCAGGAGCTGGCTTTGTTCCAAGCAATGATGCAAGTCGTCTCAGAAATGATGTTCGGCTGAAGCACCGACAACCTTGTCTCGTGCAGTCCAGAACCTTACAACCCTTCAACCAAGTTCAATGATGCCTGAGGCCTGAGAGAAGAAACATCGGAGCAAGAACGGTTCAATCAAAGCATGCAAGACACTGTAGCTGCAGTGCCAGCATCAAGCTGCTTTTCCACTGATCTGTCCTTGCCAAGGAGGCCATCTTGGCATTCCACAATCGAAGCGGTTGCTGGTGAAGCTGCCGTCCTGGTAGTTAGCAGTGAGCTCATGTCATCTCTTATATGCAGGTTGGGAATTCATCAAACAGGAAGCAACACCAAGCCCATTGACTGAAACAGCTGCTTGGTATGCAAAAAGTCCAAGCTGTCCTTGAAACCGCACATAGTCTGCTGACCCATTCAACAGCGTCATCCACCACACATGAAGCAGACAGCCCAACAATTGATTGAAAAATATTGCAAGCAATCCAAGGAAAGGTTCTAATTAATGCACAAGGCATCATCGAGCTTGAGCCAGTATGTTCATATGACAGTTCTTCCTGAACGCAAGAGAATCCACAGCTCTTACATAGAGTGTGCACTCCCATCGATACACTGTGCGCTTCACAATGGCTGAGGCTTGAGCTTCTTCCAGCCAGATGCAGGGACCGTCAGGGACTCTGTTGGTGCCTCAGATTCCCCAAACAGTCCAGGATCAAAACCCAAAGCTCACTTCCTGCCTCAACTCAATTTTTTGTCGAATGGAAATTGCTGCAACACCAAATTCAAGGGTCTCACTCCGTAGAGAGGGCGGGCGCTCTGCCCCAGCAGCCAGCCGTGCTGCCAAGAGCAACGCAAGGCTCTTGTCTACACTGCACATGAAGAGGCCAAAACAAACCTTGTCCATTCCCCAACATGTTAGTTGACCTGCAATTGAGGAGGGTTGAGGTAAGGAAGTGCACGCAAGTGCTGTCTTCAAGGCCCCAAGAGACCTTGACCACTCACAACCCTGACATAAACCCGTTTGACAGGACAGATCAGCATGAAAGTTAAGGACACTGCACAGGCACAGGCCACCCTGCATTGGCCTTGAATCCTTAAAAAGCTTGAAATCAACCAACAGTTTTTGGCCTGCCTTCACAGCACCAGTCTTCCTCAGAAAGGAATCTTCACTCACTCACTCACTCACTTACTCACTCACTCACTCTCTTAGGATCAGGATGTACAAGTCACTTGAGCCACTTGCCGGCAAGCGTCGCATTCTTGTGTGGTTCTCGGGTGATCTTCAGTTCCTGGCCTCGTTCAGCATGTTCGTACACCTGGCCAATCAATTGCTGCAAGAAATTCATTCTGAGCTCTTCCAAGCAAACAGCAAACGTCTCCAAAGGGGTTGCGCCCAGCGCAAGCGGAGTGCAAAAAAAGGTTTCAAATTCGCTGGTGACACTGGAGCATCGCAGTACTCTCGCTCGGTGGCCTTGTACACTCCATTGGCCTCCTAACAAAGACTGTGCCACACTGTCAGCGATGGCCTCCACCCTAGTAGCGGTGGCCCCCAACCTAAGAGCGATGGTCTCCACCCTAGTAGCGATGACAGCTTATGCAAAAACTGTCTTGCTTGCGTCTTGCTTGCGCATCCTCGCAACCAGCCCCTGAGACCACCACGGCCTCCAGAGCGAGCAAGAAGTGCAATTCAATGTTGCGGCCACGAAGCTTTGTGAGTCCCAGGGGGTTGAGGGACCTTCTTAAGAGGGCCAACTTGTAGATTTGACTCGATTCGACGTTGCTATCAGCCTGAGGCAAGTCAGCGAAGACCATAGCTGAAATGGTCAAACACGAAAAAGTTTCGTGAAAAAGACTGGTTGTCCAAAAGAATGCATCAAAGAATGAGAGTGCTACAATGAATGGTCATGCAATCAATTATTATGTGTATATATGTTCTAGTTATTTATATAGTTGTGTGTTTTTTACTTATTCTCTGCCAGCAAAATTCCTGCAGGTCCACTGCTGACAGAGTATTCTGCATCTTGATTCTATACTTTCTCTGGTGGCGAAGGTAGAGCTGCGTTTGTGCCTTGTTGTATCTTGTTGTGCCGAAAGCGAATGGAAGCAGCTGAAAGCACAAGAAAAATGAAGTGAGATTCAAATACCAACACAGTTAGTCTCCAAAGTGTGCAAACACCATGTCACTCCTAACACAGTCTGTGCCCATCCACAGCACGCTTTGGTCCAAGTGCAGCAATCCGAAAGTGTTCAATCCTTGTTGTTTCAATATGTTTCAAGGAAATGGTTCTCAAATCGCCTCCTTAGGCGATGACATTCAGTGCTGCCCATTCAGGGCCCACCAAAACCAGGGCATGCAAATGACACAAATTGGGGTCGGCGCATCTGCGCAAAAACCAGTCGAGACAAACGAATTCAAAAACCCACGATGGATTCATCAAATTGCCTTGTGCATCCTGAAGTTCTACCTATTGCAACATACTATCGAAGTAGTAGCTTTGGTTCTGCAAGCACCAGGCATTTGATAGAACCAAAATGACTGAATTGCTTGGCATGCAGGCTAAGGAGAAGGGCAAATATCTGGACTCTGCAAACCTCAATTCACAGGGTACCCGCTGTGCCTCTCGTTCTATCCCCCTTCTCTCATCTCTTCCCCAATGTTTGTGATTTTTTTGATGCTAAACTCACAACGTGCTACACTGCTGCTGAATGCCCAAATCCTACTGCCAAGGTGCCTCCCTCAACTGCAGGTGGACCAGATGACTTCCGACTTGCAGTGCTCAGGCGCTTGGATTGTCGAATTCCCAGGCCAACTCAGGAGCTGTTGGGCTGTTCTGTTGCAACAAGGAAATTCCAGGTTGATGCCACGCAACACCTCTTTGTCCTCCCCCAGCAGAGCCCTTCGAGGGAATCCTGCACAATGTGCGAAACAAAGTCTCATCCTGTTCATCTTTGGAATTTTGGGTCTTATTCATCGTTGTTCATCTTTTGGATGATGCAACACAGAACCCCGAAGCGGGCGTGCGACTTTGTGGCTGTTTGTGGGCTCCTGCTGATGTGCAGGCATCTGGCGTCAAAATTAGATGGGATAAAGGCTGCTGAGGGGGTTCGGTGGGTTTCGGAGGTGTTGGTGTGGCATGCACCATGCTGCCATGTGCTAGGAACCCTGTCGTCGTAGCATTGTCACTTAATGGCACTTTCCAAGCAAACACTTCTCTCACACAGGCCTGCCACAGGCAATCCACTGAAATTCTTACAGTGGAAGAAGCTTCTTAAGGTTCATCTTAGCGGATTTCGACGTTCCCCCGTCTTTCAAAGCCAACACCCTTTGTGGTTCCATGCACAAAAAGGGGTCGGCTGCACCCGGGTATCAGACCCTCGTGCGCACACCTCTGTGGGACTGTACACCTCTGTAAAAAGATCCGCAGGCGTAAGAAGGTGTGCTAGTCGTCGCATTTTGCTGCGCAACAAGCCTGCGGATACGCGCAGCAGTCCCCCCAAGGGCATGCGTGCGCGCGTGCGTGCGTGCGTGAGCGCGTGTGCCTTCGTGTGCGCGCAGGTGCGTGTGCGGGTGTGCATGTGCGTACGTGTGTTTGAAGCTGAGGTTGCCAGGCTTTTGACAACAGACCCTCATGCGCACACCTGTGTGGGAGTGTGTACGCGCAGGCATAAGAAGCTGTTCTGATCCGTGCAAAGACCCTGCGGATACGCGCAGTCCCCCCAGGGCATCGCCGGTTGGCGAAGCCTGTCAGTAAAGTCAATATATATAGAAACAAAAGAATCAGGACAGGCCACGCACCACGGTACTCAGGACCTGCAACTCGATCAGGCTATCAACACTTTACCAGGTCTCCTTTGGGTTGAGATACCCAAGGGCTGCGGGTTTTTGCGACAGTTTTGAGGGTTTTTTGCAACGGTGAGGTGTGAGAGGGTTTTTTTGCGACGGTGACCGCAGAAAGGGTTTTCTGTGACAGTACTGTCCGCAGGGGGTTTTTTTGCGACGGTGGGGCGAGGGTTTTTTGCGAGGGATAGAGAGGCGGCAAGCGTTTGTGAAGTTTTCTGCGACGGTAACCGGTTTTTTTTGCGACGGTAGCGCATGGACGGGGTTTTCTGCAACGGTAAGCGGGTTTTTTTGCGACAGTAAGGGGCTGGAGGCGACGGTACTATAGTAGTACGACGACGACGACAACGACGACGACTACTACTACTACCACTTCTACTTCTACTTCTTACTACCACTGCTACTACTACTACTACTACTACTACTACTACTACTACTACTACGCCTACTACTACTAATACTACTACTAGGACCACGACGACGACAACTAGACTATACTACTATACTGCTACTACGACTACGACAACCAGTACGACGAATAGTATATTAAGACTACTAACTGCTAGAACGAGTATACTACTCCTTTGATTTCACTTGTACCACCAGACTGCATATCGTGGCAAAAGATGTCGGCAATGTGGAAGACAGTTGCAAGTTGACAAGCGTTATCCCTCAGCGCCTCTTGGCTTCCCGCGTGCCGCGGTACTGAGCTTCTCTGCCACGGCAAGGCGGACGCTGGGCAGAGAAGAAAAACTGTGCGTACGCAGGCGTCGCACCCCACCCTGGCGATGAGCAGGTAACCTGGCGAGCGCAAACAGCGAGCGACAAAGCAGAACAGAGTGAGCAGAACACTTGGAAACAATGGCGGCCACGCCACGTTAGAAGAAAGACCTGGCAGCCACTCCAATGGAACGAAAGCACGAGCTACGAGATTGGCGCGCTGTCAGCGCTCAGACAAGAAGATACCAGAATCGGCGAGAGGACAAAAGAAAAAGCATAGACTTCTTTTTGAGCGTCAGTATATCTTCTGTCAGACACCGCAGCGTCTTTTGCGCGGGGGCGCGTCCGATTTGGTGGGACGGCCCGTGCGTTTTCTGCTGCTAGGCAATGCGGTCAGAATCACAGGCGGCTGTGGGAAATTCGGAAGGCCGAGACTGCGAAGAAAAGTGGAATGCTCACATTGTGCGTGCATAGCAGCTGCCGGGCAAGAGCATAGAATAAAGGTGGGTCGAACCTTCAAGTACACGACGCACTCAAAATGAAATTTGAACGACTGTAAGCACAAGTTTCCATCAGGAGTGAACAGGTCAGGCAAGCTCCGGGCACTCAAAGTAGCTGGGTGGATCAACACTTGCAAGACTTTCAAAGTAAGGGCACGGTTCAGTGGCGAAACTGCGGCTGCGCTGGCGAAAGCAACCCAGGAACAATCATTGCACTGCTGCAAGACATAGAGGTCGGTAGGGGCCAATTTGGCAAAGTTGGCGGCGCAAGTGCGCCCAGCCCGTGTGAGGGCAGTGCCATTGACCAATTGTGGATCTTGAGTGGGCGGAACAAAGGCCAGCGGGGTGGAAGCTGTCCACGAATACCAATGCTGCCAGTGATCTGTGTACAGCTTTTGCAACACATGAAGCGCATGGCCAATGTTTCCGCGGCCGCCAAGTTGGTTCAATTCCCATTGCCAGGAAGGGTGGATGGCCTCGGCAGGCTCTGGCAGAATACCATCAAACCCAACCCAGAAGCTTACAAAGATGATGTCGGGAGAATGGTGGCCTTGGAAGATGGCTGGCATAGGCCGCTCATAGGTCTGCAACCAATCGGCCAGGGTGGGTTCACCGAGACGCCGAAGGGTTGCGAGGAACGCTTTCCACAGCCAACTGAAAAGAGGTAAGGTCGGAACGAAGCGAAGGATGTTGATGACCTCCAAAGCAAAATGCACGTATTTCTTAACAAACTTCCCTTTTCGCGAGACCAGCTGCTGGCCTTTTGCTTGCATAGTAGTGTGCGATTTTTCCTTGAAGTGAAAGAAATCGTCACACGGTCGGGAAAGCGGCCAGACATGGCGACGAGCTTCTTCGATGCTCAGGTGGAAATCTTTGCGCAACTGCAAGCTCATCTGCTGCTGTAATGGCTTCTGGTTGGGATGCCTCGCTGTCCAAAGGTCACAACAAGCGGCAAACAAGTTGACATAGTTCGCCTTTGTCTCAGCATGAAAAATTGCTTGCAGCAGCGGCATGCCATGTGAAGTCCAAGCACGGCTCTGCGTGCGGCAGCCTGCGCCCATTTTTGGCAAATGGGTTGGGCGTAGCTCATCTTTCACCAGCAAGCTCAAAGTCGCAACGCCCATGCCACGGTCCAGCACCTGCATCTTGGTATCCACCGCCAATGCTACGTCGCTGCCAGTATAGCGACTCAGTGTGTCAAGCATGCCTGGGCGAGCAAAGATAACGCACACCTCAGCATCCGAGATGATAGGCGGCTTGACCAGAAACAGGGCGTCGACCTCCTTCGGCACTGTCGTCGGGAGCGTGCCCACTTCCAGTTGAACAGCTGCAACAACATTACTGTCTCGGTCTAATGCTTGTTTCGATTGCTTTTTTTCTCGCCGAAGCCAATCACCGAGCTGCTTGTTGGTAGGCAAAGATGCTTCTGTAGAACCGGCCGCCAAAAGTGCAGCACGGAGGTTTTTGACACCCCGACCGCCCTGCGTGAAGAAAATTGCTGCTGCTTGCTTCTGTCGCTGGTTGAAAATTTTTCCGGACGCAGAACGGGCGACTCCATGACCGCTATGGTCGCCTGCCCATTGGATGACAAGCGTGCCAGGAGAGTAGATGGTTTTTGCAAGGATGTAGTGAGTTCGCCACATGCGCTGACACGTTTCACTCTCCACAAACGAATCTCCGACTGAATCCTTTCCTTGTTTTGCCACACAGTTCTGACTGCAACCCTGCAGTCACTCCATTCAGACCGTTGACGAAGATGCGCAAGGAGCTGCTTGTGTCCGAGCAGAGGCGAACCGAGGTCAACGCGACCAACATCGCACCACGAGCGTTCTCGTTTGCGCGTCTGTCTCGTAGCCGGCCGCTTGGCAGCACCGCCCGAAGTAATGCTCGTTTGGTCCCCAATGCGGCTGCTTCCACGCGCACAAGGCGGGTCAGCACTTGCAGGGTGTCGGGCCTGTGGGCTTGGAGTTGAAGGCTCCAAATTGATCTCCAAAGTTCTCTCATCCATCTCCTCCAAGGCTTTGAATTCTTGGGCGCTCACGACAGTGAAGCGACCCAGAACCCAGCAGATCTGGGAGCATATCATATTGGATGCCCAACACGGCCGAAATGTAGGGGTCCTCCAACGGGCGCTTCCTGCAGGCAGCTCCTTTGGACACTTCCGGCTCCTGATGCGAGGTCGCTAACAAAATCTTCCAGCGAACTGGGTTTCTTGTTGATAATGTTACCCATGTTAGTAACGGCTCACTACTATCGCTTTGCAAGCTTTGGTCATATTTGTTTGACTTCGCACATGCACGTTGGCCCTGTGTCACTGGCAAAGGGGTGTGTCCATTACACCTTGACTTGCGCAACAAACGGCTCGCGCTTCGTTATATGTTTTGTTTTGGATCCGAGCGACCGTGTTGTCCGCACAAGGGTGATCCCGCAGAATCTAGCAAGTCTATGCAAGTCTTTCACCACACCGCTCGAGACAACTCGTTTCGGTTGCGCGCGCGCTCCTCGTCAAGGAAGCAAATGAGATCGTCAAAGGACATGCACCCACCAGATTTCTTGCTTGCAACACTCCCGATCACCAAGGAAAGTTCGTCGGCGCAAAGAAAGCACCGAGGGCCATCCCAGTGGATAGCGGAAGCAATGTCGATGAGACCTTCCCAAGTCTGTCGCTCATTCCAGCGGAGCCATTCTAATCTGGCTGACTTTTCTGTGTTGACCGCCCCCTCGCATTCCTCCTCGTGGGCCTCGGACTGTCTGGACTTCTTGGCTGCGCCCTCGACCAAATTGAAATGCAAACGGCTAAAGACATCTTTCAAGCCCTTGCCCCCACCCTCACGCACCATGCGCTTGAGGATCTTCAAGATGCTGCTCTTCTTCAAGCCAGTCCCTCCAACCATGAAAGTAGACTCGCGTCCGGAAAGGGTCCTGGTGCCATTCTTCATCCGAAAATCTTTCGGAAGATAAAACTTCCGATGGGCAGCCAGGGGGGCTCTCACAAAATGCTCGTCCACCCGGAACACGCGAGCGAGTAGGCTGTAGCTCTCAGAGGACAAACGGGTTGCGCAAGCGTCGATGGGAAACTTGGCATAGTGCGCGTACGCTTGGTCAGCGTTGAATTGCTCCGGTGTCCCCCAATCATTGAACAACTTTTTGAACAAGGTGTAAAGGCCCTCCTCGAGATTCTCCACAGTACTACCAAGAGGCTGGTAGACAGACTGGTAATTGAAGAGGACCCTCAGACAATCCTCCCTCTCAAGCAAATGTGCCCAGGATACATCTTCACCACAAAGGGCACTGAGCTCATGTCGCAGCTCGGCTTCAAGAGTAGGTCTACGCGGCGGCGTGCGACTGTCTGGAGCAGGCAAGTGGGGATCCATCTTGCACCCTGGGGAAACCTCGTGATGAAAAGCCTGCTGCGTCGGAGGCGGAGACGCTGGGGAAGCCATGGCCCCGGGAAAAAGCTAATTCAATGATACACTATGATTACTATATATTACTATATACAAGTAAAATATATGTATGTCAAAAATATAACTTGTAAGTGGATCAGCCGCTGTCAACCCCAGAGTGAAAATTGGAACATCTTCTCTCAACACCATTCCAAGGAATTTTGTCGAAGGAACCAACCCACGCAGGGGGCGCAACACCATCCCGACCGTCCCGACCATCCCGACCATCCCGACCGTCCCGACCATCCCGACCAATTGATCCTATATCGTTGACGCTTATCCCGAACTTACGCTGGCTCGGCGAAGTCGCGGAAAAACTATTCCAACTGTTGTTGCTATCCCGACCATCCCGACCAAGGCTCCTATATCGTTGACGCTGATCTCGAACTTACGCTGGCTCGGCGAAGTCGAGGAAAAACTATGCCGACTGTTGTAACTAACTGGTTGTGCACCGGCTATCCCGACCACCCCTACCGTCCCGACCATCCCGACCAAGGATCCTATATCGTTGACGCTAATCCGTAACTATAACGCTGATTCGGCGAGGTCGAGTATAAACTATTCCAACTGTTGTTGCTAACTGGCTGCGCACCGGCTATACGACCATCCCGACCGTCCCGACCATCCCGACCTTCCCAACCATCCCGACCGTCCCGCTAGAATCTGATCCTACGACGCTGATCCGGCCGAAAGGAATCTGATCCCAGACGCTGATCCCTGACGCTGATCCGGCGAAGTCGAATCTGATCCGGCAATTGCCCCCTTCAGGGCTAGCACTGGGTTGAGTGCCATAAAGAAAGGTGCGCGACAGGAGATGAGGCGTTTCAACAAAGTGTTGGATCCTCAGGAAAAAAGAAATGAACCAGTGATATCTGCTCAGCCGCTCAACTCTGGTTCTACCAGAGAAGGAAGTAACAACTTGTCCAGTCCTGGACACAATTGTAAGTGACTTGAGTTGGCAGGTCAACTGCCAGGTAAGTCGAGAAAACCATGTTGATTGTCGGAAGGAAACCACATTGCTCCAAGCCATAGAAGCCAAATGCCGCAGGCACTGCAATCCCGAGAGCGAGAACCAACAAGGGAAAGTGGGTAAGGATCTCAATCCAGAAGTCTGCAGGTCCAAAGAATTCACTCTTATCACCACGGTATCGCTTGATCCAATGTACCAGCCAACCTTCGTTGTTGGACAAAGGTATTCAAAGCCCAATCTTTTCATTGTGAACATGATTCTGTCCTGACGACATGGATAAAAAATACCTAGGTTCTAGCATCGAAAACAGCTAACATTGTTGCGGCAAAAAATGCCTCCAAGCAGCTAGCTGCGTACGAGAACAACAGCAAGCTTGCAACAGAGCCACCCAACCAATTCAACATTCAGGTTCCAGAATGGCAAATCCAATCCATGGCGTGGCATGGGCAAACCCAGGAAAAGAGTCCTTCAGCCTGATTGTATATCTATAGTTATAGTCTCGTTGAGCCTTTGTCTGTCAGTGTCCAAACAGGTCTTGATGCATGCCAATTTTCCAAGGTGCTTGCAAAGTGCTCAACTTGGCAACACAATGGGAATCAACCCCATGTTTGAGCCTCCATGAGTCAATTCCAATGCTAGAACAACGTGATTCGTTGAACCTGATGCGTGACCAATAGTAGTGTATAATCAAGGCACGTACAGATTTATACTTGGCGGCGCATCTGTTGCTGCACAAGACTTGTGATACCCGTCTCCGAGGTTGTCTGGGTTCTGCAATTTTTTGATTCGCAGGTAACCCCGCCAGCTTCCGTTTCCAACCTTGGCCCCGATCTCAGCTTAACTTGGCATTTTATGATCCGTTGTAGTAACAGCCACAGCTACAAATTCTGTGAAACCGCACGACTCCAACCTGGGTCTTTGGCTTGAGTGTGCGTTGCTTGCCAAAGCAATGGCAAATCAACCCAAACCTCCCGACAGCAAAGCTGTGAAAAAGGATAGATTTGACTAGGAATGACCTTCAAGAGGCTCTGCTTTCCTTTGAACAGCGGTGCCACTTCTCAGTTAACCTTTCTCATCTACGGAAGTGACTCCAGGGACCTCCTAGCACCTGGGAGAAACAAACAAAACAAACGTCTCACACGAATACTTTCAACTGCACCCAAAAGCCTGTACTTTCCACATTCAACAAATCAACAGACTTGGCTCCCACCGAGGGATACCGCCAGCTGTTCACCTCCAGTAGCAACACCTGGAATACGGAAAAGGCACTAAGCCCAAAGAAGCCGCATTAGCCTGTGATGATATGCCTTAACAATACTGTATAAGCGCTGACAAATATTCCCTGTGCAGGGGGGTTGAGTGCCTTGTCCTCCTTCTCATGCAACCCACCAATCGGCCTTTGACGTTCATTCATTTCTCCAAAGTCAGAGCAGCTAGCAAAGGCCAAGGGCTTGACGCATAGTGACCTGTTGCATGTTGACAAGAAATCTAATTATTCTATATGAACACTTCAAGGCACTTTGCAAAAGAGTTTGCACGAATTCATTCGACAGCTATGCTCACAATATTGCCTCCGCTGAACATGCGCTGTCCCACCACTGACCCTCGGACGTCACGCCATCTTCTCTTTAGAGTAGAGTTCACTGAAAGCTCACACTTGGACTCTAGCGTGAATAGTTGATCAGCAGGAATCTCCTTTCCCGTGTTGCATTGATTTCAGAAAGGTTTGTATCAACTTGTGAAGCCGAGGCAGCTCCAATATTTCTCTCCAGGACCATGTCAATGTCAATCTCAGACCCCTCCTTGATTCATCTGAACTTGATGAAAAGGTTGCAAGAACCTTGGGCTCAACAGACTTGCAATGTCTAGCCGCTTGCGCCGCTTGCCCAAACCAATCGTTTGCCGAGATCAAAGAGGCCTTTTGTTCAATGTCAATGTCAACTGCAAACCCCAGCCCTCTGACAAGGACGCTACTAGGGGCTCCTGGCATCGCTACTAGAAGCTCAGAAGCTACTAGGGGCTCCTGGCCGCACTACTAGGAGCAAGGACGCTCCTAGGGCTTCTGGCATCGCTACTGACCCTCTTTTTTTGGATTGTTGAGCATCTCACATCTTCACGGAATGCATCTTCGTCCAAATCTGCAGAACCTGAACAGAGGTCATACGATCTGAGGTCATACACTCACACAGTCCTTTCGAGTCCGTTCTTCTACTAGAGGGGTTCTGTTCTTGGGGTCCAGCTCAAGATTTCCACATCAAAGTCCAGCAACCGCAACCATTGTGCCAACAGAGCCAAGGGTGCCCCATCGTACCTCTTTGAGACCAGAAGCACTCCACTTGAACTTACAAAATGAAAAGGTCTTTCCAATTTTGCGCACTGCAGGTGTGACAATAACCAATACCTCCATCATGCAAGATCGTCTTCGTTAAAGTATGGAAATGAGAATTTGAGGCGATCTGAGGCAAAGGCTTCAACAGGGCAGGCAAAGCGTCCAATGCGTCCAAGCCGTAACAGGCCATGACAGGAGGCCAGGTCTCCGCCTGATCATGGCAATTGAATTCCTCCGGACAAATGCACATGTATCAAAAGTCTTCGTTGCCAGAATTCAGGTGCCAATACCAAGCAAGATTCCAAGGAAATACCAAGAAAACATATCCTTGATGCTAACTTTCATTACTGAAGGTCCCTCCTTCCGAAAAACGTCCGCAAAGCGTTTTTGGTCTGCGGGCCCAACCTGAGAAACAAATGAACTGGCTCACGTGAGTTGTGGGGTTGACAACAATGAACATGGACATGGTGATAGCGCTCTTTCTTTACTAATGACTCTGAACCGCGGAAGACACTAAGAGCAGCGACTTCTTCGGCGGAAGCCACTGTCATTGCAGAAGCCACGGCGCAGAATGCTGGATGCTCCTATCAGAACTCCTGACTGTGTTCCACCAAAAGATTCTTCAGACACTCTCAAGGACTCAACTGTATAACCTCTATGACCAGAGGGCCTCGGCCCAGGCCCTCCTAAGTCTTGGGTTCCAACTCAAACAAATCTTCTATATATTGCCAAGCATGCTGTTTCAAGGTGCGCTGTCTTGCGTCTCCGATGTTGTCCCAACAACATGGCCTGCCGAAGCAATGCTTGCACCAGCTTCTGATTGACAAACCTCACTAAATCAGTGTGAACAATGTCGGCATCAAAAAATGACCCAACCAATGAACAAGTGTGGCTCCCAAAAAACCAAGCGCCGGGCGCTTCAGCAGCAAGGCGTTGCCCTTCTTGTGAGTTTAGGTCAATTAACCTCGAATGACAAACCTTTTCAAACACTCAAAAATTCAGCAATGGTGTGCTTAGTACTTGACTCATCTGGCAAGGCAAACCGCTGGCCTGGCAGAATGCATCCAAGAAAGTTGGAGTGTCTTTAGGGAGAAAGTTAGTTGTTCAACTTCGCAAAACAACTCGTTCCCACCAGCTTGCCTCCAACTGGGGCTGACAAGCGGCGGTGCCTTTCTCAAGACTTCTCCAAATTTGTTACGAGACGAAAAGTAAACGAACAGGCAGCTTCAGTTGTTTCAAAAACACACCGAAAAGGACGCTCCTGGTGGCATCCCGCAAAGATCGAAACAGCCGCACAACATATTCTGGCACTGTTTGTGCACGTGGCATTCTCTATAGACTGCAACATGAAAAGTCCTGTAGGTCATGTAGCAGCAACGAATGTGAGCGCAATGCGAACTTTATTCAATGCTGCTGCTCAGCTTTGTAAAATGCATGTTGACTCCTCCCATCCAAAAACAACTGCAGTCTTGCTAATCAAAGGCAACCAAAGGCTTGTTTTGAGTTGCACACTTGTCAAAGACAAACACGGTTCCCTTTCTGATCGTTTTGTTCCCAGTCTTTTAGAGGGCTGGCTTTCGTTCCTTCCTTTTTCAGGGAATTTCCAACAACATCAAAATCGATTGGCGCATGTTCACTGGTGTGTGCAATCTTGGTCCCGCACCAACAATTGTCGGATTGAAAGAGCCATTATTGACTTGACCAGTGCTGCTGTCAAGCATCACTTGTTTTACTGCGCATTTTCGGTTGGCTTGTTGTTCTGGCGTGTAGTTGTCTGTAGCTTCCAGACCTCAATAAAAGTTGAAACGTAGAGAGTCCGACATCTAGTTTCGCATGTGCCTGCATGAAATTAATGGCAATAAACCAACTGCACCATTTCTGGCCCACACTTTGTGGCGATGAGTTTGCTAACCTTCACAACTCAAGCACAATGAGCACCTGACTAACTAACCGTTGTGTTTTCCTTTGCTGCGCGTTCAGTGGTCGGAACCACAGGTCGCAAGAAAAACAAGAGGTGGAGAAGGTGAGAACAAGAAAGCCCTCAGGGTGAAACAAGGAATTAAGCCACCCTCGTGCTCGGGCAAGGCCCTGAGGTCTGCTCCACGCGTCGCAAACTGAGAGGAAGTGAAGCAAAACATGCAATCGAATGACGACTGGGGTGAGAAGTGAAACAAAAGTGCAACAAGCAAGCAACTACCCTCAGAAAAAGTCTCACTCAGAGAAAGACCTCGTCGATGTAGTGACTCTTTTGTTAGGCAGCGCGCCTTTTTGGACCAAAGCGCTACGATGCGACGAGTGATAAGAACAGATACTACACATCCAAGTGTACATGTTGGTAACCTAGAAAAAGTAAACACGCCGCCTCAAACACAGCCGCTCTAGGCTTTGTTTGCCTTCTATACACATCACCGAGCACCACACTCTTCTAGGTGGCAGAAGGTTAAGTCCGCTCGGCTCGTGTGATACGTACCCTGTATGTACTGTTCCGGCATTTCATGCCATTCCTACAACACTCTTTGCGAATTCTCGTACTGTTGTAACCCTGACATCAACCGTTCAAGTGTCCAACAATCGTTGTCCTCGACATCGGCTGGCTTCTCCTGGTCATCTTTGGACTCTCCTGGATTCGCCGGATCGCTTCTAGCATTCGCAATCGTCCCTGCCTTCGGAGCTGGGCTGTCAGGCTCCACGGCACTCTGCGCTGGCAGGGGTCACGCGTGGCGCAGGCAGCAATTGTTGCAGGTCCAGGGGTCTGGCACATCTGAGAGTCTGGCAGACTGTCCAACAAATCTCATCCCAAGGATGCAGGGAGAAGGAATAATGACCCTGAAAGAGGTCCAAAGGAGGCAGGTTTTGGGGAAACATGCGCTTCGTACTACAGCAAGGTAAAAGAACCACTTGGAGGGGACCCTACGCAGAGAGCAATACGTTTGACTTATGTTCTCGGTTTCAAATGCCCAAGTGGATCAACCTTCTCCGGATGGAGGAGCCCCGGATTTGATGGCATGGGAGGCCAATTGCCCCAGCGCAAAAGGTAGATCTTACCGGCACACACACAGGCCGTATTGGAAGGCATGCATAGGGCGGTGACCTCAGTCACTGTCCCTCTTGTCCCGCGAAATATGCCTGCCTAATAGTGCCTACTAGGGAGACATCCTGCTGGGGCGATAGATCTTAGTAACTTTCACACCCAACCCTGACGGTACTTTTTGATTGTACGGTTGTTTCATATGAGCATTTTCCCTGTTACTGATCACCAAACGACCAATAAACAGGGACTTCTGCAACGAGACATCGGCTCAAGCACGAAAGGTCACGTACTGCGACAATTGCCTGCATCCATACCTCTCATGGCAAGCCAGTACCCCGGCCGAAACTGAAGACAGTGCGACGCTTCAACTTACACTCATCACACTTGCAGCAAAAGAAATTCAACTGCCTGTCAATATTCGTGAGCACGACCGTCTAGATGAGCTGGAAGCAGTGGTGGACTGCCTGCCTACCATCAGCCAGATCGCCACGTTTGGGTATGAGCTTGATTTTGTCCATCCGAGCACTCAGAAGCTTTTAAAGAACCCCATATGGGGTACTCTTCGTTATTGTACACGATTCAATTTGCCAATGCCACAGGCGTCATTCCAGACAATGCCTTCAACTCGGTCCCACGGCTGAGGCATGTCCTAGTAGAGTCTGGCATTCACACAATTGGAGCAGCTGTATGGAAAAAGCTGTCACCAGCTCCAAATTGTCAAAACTACCTGCCACTGTAGTATGCATTAATGAAGGTGCCTTCCAAGGCTGTTATGCATTGACCCAAGTAGTTGCCCTGGGGTGTGTGAACATTGGTCGTCGAGCCTTTGCAGAATGTTGCTCGCTTCAGTACATTGGTACTAATGAAGGAGAGACCAACGAGCTTGTCCCTGGGGTCAATATTTCCTCATATGTCTTCGAAAGCTGCCCAGCACTGTCCCAAGTTGAGGATCAAGTCCGCCACCAGGGCCACCATCCACTCGAGGAATCCAGAAGGAAGCTTCAGCTCATCGGGACTTGAATATCTCAAGCTCCCGTCAGATGTCAACTTCCTAGGACCGCTAGCCTGTGAAAATTGCAAGCGACTTGCTTTCGTCGACCCATCCAGCACGTCGATTGACGCCATTTGGGGTTCTACTTTCTCACATTGCGTGAATCTTGAGCGCATATGGCTTCCAACCAAGTTGCGACACATTCGTAAAGAAGCTTTCATGTTCTGCAACGCCCTCATAGAAGCAGAAATCCCTCCTACTTCAGTACATTGCGCACAGGGCATTCTTTGACTGTGGTCAACTGACTCGTTTCACGCTAATGAGCTAACCAACAACCTGGCGAGGGCCCTATGCTGAAAGCAACTCCTTTGCATTGCGCTCTCGCTTGCAATACCGAAGTGGATCAATCTTCTCCCTCCAGACGGAGAAGACCGCACTGGCTATGACGGGCAGAAACCGCTCTTCTAAGAGCTGGCACTGAACCCACCTGCTCCATTGCCGGCAAGCAGACAGTCACCCCAAAGGCTGTGAATGTTGCGAGAGGAACTTGCGAGCCGCAGAATTGCACACTAACTAGGCCGGATACCAGGCAAGGACCTCTGTCCTTGTCCTGGGTGTGGCCGGCCGTGTAAAAAGTGCACAGTATTTCGGCGCAGTTTCACCTCTGTTTCACTGTAGTTTCGCGGCACTGCATGACTCACTCAACGATGGCCACTTGTGATTGCCTGGCTGCACAAACACAGGTGCTGCTTGATTGGACTGGTTTTTTGCACGGATGGAGCCGCCATGTGTGCAGAGAATGCACAGGTCAGCTTGCGCTGCATATGAATGAGTCTCCGGCCATGAGAGGACAAAAACAACGCAAACCAAAAAACAACCAAACCAAAACACACCCCCAAAACGAAAGAACAAATAGCAGTTTACTGAAGTGTAGGTGCGATGTGTACTTCTATGAGGGCGTTGCAGAACATGAAAGCTTCTTTACGATGTTCAAGATACACAATGCGAGAAAGTAGATCCCCAATCAATCGACGTGCTGGACAGGTCGACGAAAGCAAGCCGCTTGCAATTTTCACAAGCTAGTGGCCCCAGGAAGTTGACATATCTGACGGAAGCTTGAGGCATTCAAGTCCCGATGGGCTGAAGCTTCCTTCTGGTGTTGCCTCGAGTAAATGGTGGCCCTGGTGGCGGACTTGCTCCGCTGGCGATTTGGGTAAACTTGACGTGGGACAATGCAAGGCAGCTTTCGAGGCTTGTCAAGATGCCAGGAAGGCATAAATGGCGAGGAGTCTACGCAGAAGAGAATGCTTTCGCCATTTGTCCTGCTATGCGATGGCCACCTTGGCTGCACATGATCCCGGACATGGGGCACACCCCTGGTCTTGGATGAAAACAAGACTTTTTTCTTGGTTGCAGCGAGGCTGCATCGTAGATACTCGTCAAGAGTCTGGGCACGCGCCTTAGCGTGGGTCCAAGGCAGGTCAACGATCATGACAGGGCAAATTCCAGAAGGGAGCGGAGAAACATCGCAATTGTACCCGCATAGAAAGTTCTACTCAAGAGTATCAGGGCGAGGCTAGAGGCAAGCAAACGACAAACGACAATAAACTGCACATTGCCAAAAACCAGTGTCCCTGAACAAACTGAATAACCCATCTAATCCAGGCAATCTAGGGAATGTCGACTGATGCCAGTTGTCACAGGGAAGAAAAAGGACTAGACCAGACGGAGCCGGTGAACCTGTGACTGGAATGGGGGACAAGCTGACTGACAGCAGAGTGCTACCACCTGGAGGAGGCTGTGCGCCGGCATTGCGAGCCGAGAGTCATCTCGGCTGACTCTCTGTTGGTCTTGGATGCTAGGACTGCCGCCCGCAGAGAAGATGCAGACGGAGCAAAATCAATGTGATGCGATGGTAGGAACGGAGTGTGCTACGCAAACCATGATGCAACTGGAAGATGGTTTTGCCATGCTTCCTGCCAACCGTGTCTGACCTTGATGTTTTTGGCTGCGAGGTTGACCTCATGGATTTTACTGCTCAGCTACCCTTGCCAGCAGCCTTCCACACAGCGCTAAGTGCAATAAAGGAAGCTGCAGATTGTGGTTCGGCCCTGCATGGCGGAGAGCCACTATCTGGCAATTCCAAGAAGGTGATAAAGAGAACTGCCCCAAAGCAGTTCGAGTTTCTGTCAATCCACGCAGAGAAATTGCTGACAGAGCTTTCTATGCAGCACCTATGCTCCGGCATGTGGAAATTGCAGAAGGAATCCAGCACGTTGGATTTGCGGCCTGGCAGGAGTGTCAGCAGCTGCAGATCAAGCTCCCCTCCTCAGTCGTAAGCTCAGAAGATGGAGCTTTCCAAGGCTGCTATGCCCTTGGAAGTGATGGCCCCAGGCTGTGTTCAGTTCAGTCGAAGAGTGTTTTGCGGAGTGCCAGGAGCACGCTGCCTGAAGGTGCATTTTGCCGGGCGGGTCTTGAAACCCCTGCCTCCCAAGCGACTTTCACAACATTGGCCTGCGGGCTTGTGAAAACTGCAA